GTCATCTGCTGCAGCTGAAGCATCAGCAGCTTCAGGGGCAGGCTTTCGGTGTTGTGCCGAAAATGTGACCAGGGTTCGCTGTTCAGCAAATGTTGGATTACATTAGATTAGACGCTGAAGTGAAATGATCAGCGTCAGGAGATGAGTGGTGCTGTAAAACATGTTTCATGTTTTAAGATTAGAGAAAACGTCCATTGGACAGCTAGATCTTGTCACAAGCATCTAAATGCTTATACTGTATATAGGAAAGAAAAGAAACATTGCTCCTTACAAATGCATATGATGCAGTCACTGAATCTGACAAATAAAAAACCATAGCTATCGAAAGGTTACTACACTTTATTTCGTAATAACTGACTATAAATGTTTAATAAAGTGACTCATGTGATGTGTGAGCTCATTTTTTGTGTTTTATATAAATAAAGCATGCTGATCAGATATGGATATATTTGTGGATGGGCTACAATAGGGTCTGGCAGGTTAAATGTTAAGCTATTGAAAGGTGTTACCCCTCTTTATTTCATATAATGCTTAATAAAGTAACTCGTGATGTTTCAGCTTCTCTTCTATTTTTTACCTACCATTAATTGGCTTAATAATTCCCAAAAAGCAATAAGAGCTATACATTAAGCTTGTTTTTATATGAGTTTTTTGTTGTTCATATAAGAATCTGCACTTAATGAATAAATACTCGTGATGGTGTTCAAAATAATGTATTTCTTTTGCAGGCAGAATCCATTCAAAGACTCTACATGAGGGTTTTGCAGCTTCTTTTTCGTTTCAGGCCTGAGTGCCATTACACGGTGAGTGTGGCTTCTTTGCATCAATGTTGCATTTTCAGATCAAAACTGAATTTTGATGTTGAATTGGAGATTGCTTTTCCCGTGTCTTCCACAGGTGCCCTTTTCTGAAAACGTCCAGTACCCCATGCTGTATGAGTGGGTGACTCCAATCATGAGCGTTTACATGCGCATGTAAGAGTTTTATCTTGAGAGTACTGTAGAGAGTCTTATGACTTAAATATATCATTTGGCGTCTCTGAAAACGGAGTATGCCTAAATGTTGTGAAAGGTCTGCATGTATTCCTCAGCGCTGAGTTCCTTTACATTTACGTTTATTTCAGGTGCCAGTTCTTGCCGCTTTGTCATGTGTATGATTTTTCCCTGAATGACTTGCTGAACCCCAGTAAGTAGCTTTTATTTTCTCTATCAGGCTTCACACGTAGAGCT